CACATGATTTGGATTAAACTGCTCGATTCATATGGATTCATTTTACATTCATTAATTCACTTGTATGCTTTGGATACCTGGACTTTAATTGAAGCGACAGAAACCTGTCAGGTTTTATTAAAAATATTTTAATTTGTGTGTTCGAAGATTACCTGAAGTCTTATGGGTTTGGAACAACATGAGGATGAGTAAATGATGAAGAATTTCCATTTTAGTCTTTTGGTCCTACTATTCCTATAGGATTGCATTCTGCTGATAAATTAGCGCTGTGGTCATTAAATATTTGCTTGCTTATGTCTAAAGCTCACTTGAATTTGTTTCTAGCTCATTAGATGTGACATAATGGTGCCTTGTTAACTGCTAACAAGTCACATTCTGTGTTATAAGACATCAAAAGAACAAATATTTTTTTCATGCCGCTATTGTTACCTCTGAATAAAGTTTAAAAGGAATGCAACACACAATATAGTCCAGGAAATACAAAGTATAATTAGAGGCCTGCTGTGTGGAGCCTTTTTTTATTGACAGTAATGTCTGTCCCTCTCTGATGGAGGAACCACCTTGACATCTTCTTGACAGGTCATGCCTGACAGCCATAAAATGAACTTGACATTATCTCTCCCCCTCGCAATTGATATGCAGATGCATTATCTTTGGCAGATGACCCCTCCATCTGTCTCCCTCAGTGTACTGTATTCAGCCTGTCCTGGAATAAAAACATTGCTTAGACCATCCATGCAAAGCAAGTTTGCACATTCTCGCATGTATAATCACTAAAGTTACGTCTATGAAGTACTTGTTGAAAGCAGAGACTTTACAATGGGAGTTAACGGGCGATTTGTGCATATGCGAATGGGAGAAACTAATACAAAATGTGGCCACTGTAGTCTCGCCTTACAGACAAAAGAGTCACCTGCTTTTTTACTTATACAGGCCCTTCAAATATGCGTGGAAGTGGAAAACAGCTTGTGAGTCGATTGTATGTCGGACTTCATAGTATTCATGAAACAGTAGGCAAAAAGTATCTGGATGACTTACTACTTCCGACGAGATTATTAAGTGTGAATGACAGTGAAGTGACACAACTGATGCCGTAAGTCACATGACAGTGACAACATGGCGGATGTGTCCGAATTTCACTCATACTTTACACATTCACACTTTATATAACATACTTTCTTTTAACAGTCGAAAACCAAATGTAGTATCTATACAGTATCCAATTTCGAACGCATCAAGCTTATTGTTGTTTTTGAATTTTCAGCAGTCATTACTCCAGGCTTTAGTGTCACATGATCCTCCAGAAATCATTCTAATATGCTGATTTTGTGCTCAAGAAACACTTCTTATTATTGATACATGATATGTGATGCATGATTTTTAGGATTCTTTTATGAATAGAAAGTTCAAAAGAACAGCATTTACTTTATCTTTGGCAGATGACCCCTCCATCTGTCTCCCTCAGTGTACTGTATTCAGCCTGTCCTGGAATAAAAACATTGCTTAGACCATCCATGCAAAGCAAGTTTGCACATTCTCGCATGTATAATCACTAAAGTTACGTCTATGAAGTACTTGTTGAAAGCAGAGACTTTACAATGGGAGTTAACGGGCGATTTGTGCATATGCGAATGGGAGAAACTAATACAAAATGTGGCCACTGTAGTCTCGCCTTACAGATAAAAGAGCCAATCACCTGCTTTTTTACTTATACAGGCCCTTCAAATATGCGTGGAAGTGGAAAACAGCTTGTGAGTCGATTGTATGTCGGAATTCATAGTATTCATGAAACAGTAGGCAAAAAGTATCTGGATGACTTACTACTTCCGACGAGATTATTAAGTGTGAATGACAGTGAAGTGACACAACTGATGCCGTAAGTCACATGACAGTGACAACATGGCGGATGTGTCCGAATTTCACTCATACTTTACACATTCACACTTTATATAACATACTTTCTTTTAACAGTCGAAAACCAAATGTAGTATCTATACAGTATCCAATTTCGAACGCATCAAGCTTATTGTTGTTTTTGAATTTTCAGCAGTCATTACTCCAGGCTTTAGTGTCACATGATCCTCCAGAAATCATTCTAATATGCTGATTTTGTGCTCAAGAAACACTTCTTATTATTGATACATGATATGTGATGCATGATTTTTAGGATTCTTTTATGAATAGAAAGTTCAAAAGAACAGCATTTACTTTTATACAGCATTTATAAAAATTTTTTTTTTTGGAACAATGTAAAAGTATTTACTGTCACTTTGATCAATTTAATGTGTGGCACACGGTTCAGCCAATCATAATCAATGACCGGAATACCTTTTATAACAGCTTTTAAACAATCAGTTAAAATAAATAAATAAATAAAATAAATCAATACTTACATAGCCTACCACGGGCAATTTTTCAAATAAATGGCTCCGTTTTAGAAATTTTGTAAAACAGTCATAACGTTAATAATGGCAAAAATAAATTAAAATAAAGGAGCACACTAATATTGTACTTATTGTCTTATTATAGGCAGTCTGCTGTTACTGGTCAATGGGATAAACCTATATTCCATGCTGATTTGATCAAGTAGGACATCTAGGAGACAGATGGTTTAGATGTATATACGTGCAGTATTTTCTTTCTGCCAAATGACATGCTGATACCACATAACACAGAATAAACACAATGTGCTTTACATTGTCAGTTTTCAGGTTTGAAATGAGTTTCATGGAACAAATGAAAGAAACATTAAAAAAAACAAAAAAACAATTTTTCAAACATACACTATGTACTTTCCAATGTTGGAATGATATGGGACTCAAACATTGCTCACCTTCATTTTAACAGATGCTGTGTTGTTTGCATTAGCCAGGTGACATAAAATTTTTTTCATGTTGCAGTATTTTTAGTGAGGAATGGCTCTTCGCTTACGGGCAATTATATGATGTGCATCAGCCCAATGAAAGTAATGGATCAGGCGTCTATGTGCAGCATTGTTAATCATTTGTTCTTTAATCTGCCTCTGTTTCCTTGTTGTCTTGGTCTCTGATATAAACTGTTCAAGCTCTACTCCCCTCTCAACACAATGCATCTGGTCTTCAGGGGATGCTGTGTAAAATGAAGGGGAGTAAGAATCTCTCCCTCAATTTAGGTCAGCTTTCTGACCTACTTAGGACCCACTGATTGGATTCAGCAATGCTAACCAGACCCACTTTCCTGGCTTTCGACACTTCCTAGAGGAATGTGTTTAATCCAAAATGCCACATGTACAGTACGCAGAGTCAAACACTGAGCTTGGCAGAGCATATAAATAAAGATGACGTGATTGTGAAGTAAAAGGAGACCTTTGATTCCAGCTATAAACAAAATGTGAGGTCATTTGTTAGAGCTGGTCATTGCGTTTACTTAAGATGTGCCCTAAGGACCGACAAGGCTTGGATACTTGCAAAAAGACATGGATACTACAGCTCACTGGTTTTTAGCACAGACAGACTGATGCAATCTTTATGGAAGCCCATTTGCGCCACAGAATAAACAACTCAAAAAGGTAAATGCAACTTTTATCTCACAATTCTGACTTTTTTCCTAGGAATTCTGAGTTTATATCTATCAATTCTGAAAAAAAAATCAGAAGTGAGAGATATAAACTCACTCAAATAAGTGAGAGAAGAAAAGTCACAATTACTTTTTATATACTGCATGGAAACAAAAAGAGATTTGTGAGATGTAAATTAAGACTTCTGAGAAAAACGGTCATAATTGCAAGAAATAAACGGAGAATTCTGAGTAAAAAAGGTCAGAATTGTGAGATATCAACACAGAATTAGGAAAAAGTCAGAATTCTGAGTTTATATCTTGTAATTTTTCACAGAATTGCAAGAAAAAAGTCTGAATATATAAAATCGCAACACTGTCATGAAACTCTAGATGGCACAGGCCGATAGATTCTAACGCAATCTGATATAATAACATCATTATTCACATGGCACAGCTGATTGGTTTCTATTTGCAGCAGCAGCCAATGAGCTTGCTGCTCAACATTCAAATACTTGGCTAGTGCTTGCTGTAGCAGTTGCAGCGCGCTTCAGAAACCCTCCACCTTCCCCAACTCCACCTGTATAGATCTTCTATGGGGTAATTTCATGTAGTTATATATGGGGGTTATTTCATATATGATACATGTGCAGCAGCAGTATTTCTTAAATGCTCACAGCAGCATGTCTGTGAAAGTATTGGCAGTAGCAAGTCTTGCTACTTCCTCTGCCAAGAATTCTGAGTTTATATCTTGTAATTTTTCACAGAATTGCAAGAAAAAAGTCTGAATATATAAAATCGCAACACTGTCATGAAACTCTAGATGGCACAGGCCGATAGGTTCTAACGCAATCTGATATAATAACATCATTATTCACATGGCACAGCTGATTGGTTTCTATTCGCAGCAGCAGCCAATGAGCTTGCTGCTCAACATTCAAATACTTGGCTAGTGCTTGCTGTAGCAGTTGCAGCGCGCTTCAGAAACCCTCCACCTTCCCCAACTCCACCTGTATAGATCTTCTATGGGGTAATTTCATGTAGTTATATATGGGGGTTATTTCATATATGATACATGTGCAGCAGCAGTATTTCTTAAATGCTCACAGCAGCATGTCTGTGAAAGTATTGGCAGTAGCAAGTCTTGCTACTTCCTCTGCCACAGCAGCAGCGTAGCAGATCTGTTCCGACCAAACACATTAACATTGTCATGTACATTACCATGCTAAACTCTCAGAGTTGTCATGACAGAATTACACTGAGCTATAATATACCAAAACAACAGACTAGCACTAAAAAAAACTTTCTTTTCAGGACTGATAAAAAAATCATCTGTGTCCTTTATAGAAATTGAGAAGAAAATCAGATTTAAACAAGATCGAGAAAGTGCTTACCAGTTTTGTTTGCAATATGCATCAGATGGTTATAGTGAACAGACTGTGGGTGGTCTGTGGGCATAGGTATTGTCACGTATAGAAGGACTTTTTGCTATAAATAGGAAAAGAAACAGATCACTTCACAAAAAGCCATATAAAAAAAGTGATTAAATATGTTTTGATCTTTTATGACACCATACAGGAGAGTGTGGAAATAAAAAAATGCTTATTTTGGTTGTGATACCAAACATTTATTTTAATATATATTAAGACATATCATCCTAAGTGAAAATACATCGCTAAACAAAACCCCACAAGGCGAAATTTCCAAATATCTGTCAACAGGTTCAACCAAAAAAGCCATTTCTCTGATGTACCATATCTGGTTTAGAGCACTAATAAAGCAAGTGTCTCTATGACACTCAAATAATAACCCACTGATCTCTTTCACATTTCAACAGTTTGCTAGTTTACAAATACTCTGTAAATAAATATTTACAGGGGTAAAAAGATTGAATGATTATTCGGTTGATTCCGCAGAATGAAATAGAGTATAAATCAAGGGACCAGCCATCACTATTAAAGGCATCATTTACAAAAGAAAAGAAAAGCAAAACAAATCATTTAGTTACAGTACATAAAGTTTTAAGTCACCATGCATATGTAACGACAGGTTAAAGCCATAATGTGGGGTAAAATTATACTGTACAAGCATATATAAAACTTCAAAATGTGTTGGTTCGGATTCACTCTTAACAGACACATCAATATATATATATATATATCAATGAAGTCTAAGTTCAATAAAAAAAAAAAATCAAAAATAACCAACATCATATAAATGACACTGTACATGAATTAACTACATGTATCTGTCACCTTGCTCAACATACATTCTTATTTGGCAATATTTATGTATATATTACAATATGGTCCTAACAAGGATGTAAACAATGAGCTAGAAATACAAATACACAGTTTAGAACTGTTTAGAAATACACACGCCACACAGGATGAATCCTAACATTGTCTATTATGTGTATTTTATTAAAACTTCTTAGTTTATGCAGCACTTGTCATTATGCAGTGACTGTGCCCGTTTTTCAGTGCCATTTGATGGCAAAGGCAGTGGTTATTTAAAGCAAAGTCAGTGAACATCTGTCAATTCTGCACCGTAATCATTACAGCAGCAACATTTTTGTATAGTTACTGCAAGAAGGAGCTAAGTTATCACTAGCTAATAGGCATATAATACCTTTTGAGGCACTCTATGAATATGATTATTAGTATTTTTTAGATGTTTACAAAAATAAGCAATGAATTCCCACTAGTACCTTGGGGGGCCTCCTATTGCTCTCATATTGTGTATGCTTCTCTGCAATGTGCAGTGAAGTATGAGTCATTTGTTTATGCCCACACTCTTAAAAATGACGAGGACGATGCACCTCAGTAGCTATATAACCCCATTCTGCCAGGCAAAATGGGGAGACAACTAAAAAAATGATGCAAAATACATCACTGTAAACATACAGCAATGGGCCATAAAACACAATTATACCTGTGCTCAAAGCACACTACAAAATATGGGGGCTTACAAATCAATATATGTGAGTGAAATAGTGCTCATTGGCCTATGGAACCAAATAAAAGTTCTATATTACACAAAGGCAATATGACATTAATGTCTGAAGAATGTATTGTTCTCTGCATTACAATGCCAAAGGCTGAGTCTCTATAAATGCATTGTCTCTATGCCAGCAAAGAGCGCTTTCAGCTGTTTGAATGAAAATAGCTCATTCATGGTCACCAAAACACACAGTGCATATGGTTAAACAAGCCCCCTAAACAAAACATTGACCGTGCAGTCCCTCCCCCTCCCCCACCATCATTCACCTCCCCACCATCCTCCTGAGGCGAGGAGCTCACGTTCTCTTGGGTCTCCTCAGGGATGTGCACCAGTTGGGACGATCCTGGTCTTGACTGGATTGATACCCTAGCGCCACCAGTTAGGCCACCAGAGCTATTATGATTGGCTAATGGCACAGCACTAGCGGCTAGCTTCATGTACTGTCCAGGAGGTCCACCGCGGAGCTCACCATCTAAGCCCATGGCTGAGGGTTCAGAGCTGCAGCGGAGCTCCATGTTTCGCTGGGGAGACAGTTGTCCAGCCTCAGCCTCCATCACCTGAAGAGACAGCTTGCGGTTCTCATTCTTTGTCTTCCATTGTGACAGCAGCTGCTTGGAACGTGTGGAGTCCATGGAGGCATGGATAGCAGCATGGCGACGAGGCACTGGTTCTTCAATTCCAGTTGAGTGCACCCGGGGCAAGGTGTTACTGAATGTCACAAAACTCTCCTGGCAGAGGGGACTGGGAGGCGTAATGCACTCTACCTCTGTGCTTGCCCTTTTCAAACGGGACATGTTCTCTCTGTGGGATGGGCCACGTAGGAGGATACTCTCGGAGCGAGCTGAGGTGGGACGCTCGCGCATGCTTAGGCTCTTAGGTGGAAGTAAGCGTGGTGGATCTGTGTTCAGGTTTGGTAAAGGTCTCAGAGGCTCCCGCATGGCAGGTGGAGGCACCACTGGCTGGGGCTGTGGTGGAGGTTGCGGTGGCTGTGGTTGTCGGAGAGGAGGATGTACATGTGTCTTCAGAGATGTGTCTTCACTAGGTTTAAAGTTTCCGACTGCATACAGACCCTGAAGGAGTGCAAAAATGAAGAATATATACAGCAACATCAATCAATAGATGCCATATAGATCTTAGTCAAGATAGTGATAGAGATAGAAGAGAAACACCCCCACAACATAATGCTGGCACCACCATGCTTCACAGTAGGTATGGTGTGTTTTGAGTGGTGTGTTGTGTTTGCTTTTCACCAAACATAGCGCTTGGAGATTAGTCCAAAAATGTAAAAAAAATTGGTATCATCAGACTATAGCACAATTTGCCTGATGCCATCAGAGTCTTCCAGGTGTTTTTTTTGCGTAGCGCAAATGAGAAATTTTTTTAAGGAAAGACTTCTTTCTTTTAGCACAATGTTTGGTGAAAAGCAAACACAACACATCACCCAAAACACACCATACCTACTGTGACGCATAGTGGGGGCAGCATTAGGTTGTGGGGGTGTTTGTCTTCAGCAGGGACTGGGCAATAGGTCAGTACTGAAGGGAAAATGGATGCTGCCAAGTACATCCAAATTCTTGAGGAAAACCTGCATCCTTCTGCTAGACAGCTGAAGATGGGCAGGTCAATCACCTTCCAACACGACAATGATCCTAAACATACCGGGAAAAGAACAACGCAATGGCTTAAGGATAGGAAGATGAATGTCCTTGAGTGGCCAAGTCAGAACCCTGACTTACATCCCACAGAAAATCTGTGGATGGACTTGAAGAGAGCAGTCCATTGCCGCTCACCACATAATTTGACTGAACTTGAGGAAGAATGGGCAAATATTCTCCAGCTAGGTGTGCAAAGCTAGTACAGACATATCCAAAAAGATTACTGGCTGTAATTAAAGCAATACTCTATGAAGTATTAAATCAGGGGACTGATGACTTTTCCAAACCTGTTATTCTAGTTTTTTTTAGTAAATAAAGCTGAAAAAGCTTTTTTTAGGAATGGGTTTTGATTTCAGGCTGTACAACAAATAAAGTAACTCTTTCAAAGAGGTATGATGATTTTCTATAGGCACTGCATGTCTCAGTCATTAGGTTTGTGCTCCTTTCTGACTGTCAAAGACTAGAATCTTCTCCAGTCGATGGAAACAGTCTTTAAGCGTGTTGAGTCCTGTCTTAGAATGTTTCAGCTAGTTGTTAACTGTGTCCCCAGCTTTAGCTGGCTAGCCAGCAAGTCTCTCAGCCTGACCATCTGTAAAGTATCCAAACCCCCCTAGAACTAGTTAACAGTCCAGTCTGACCAGATTTTTTTCAGCAGTGTTGTCCTAAGGCCCTATGTCATTTTTCACAACCTATGTTCATATTCACATTTTTTCAAGTTTTTTTGTCACCAGTAATTGCTTTGCCAAAATATATTTTCAACATTAACATTAGCTGAATGATCGACAGCCTTGCTTTCATTCTCCAAAAATAATACATATGGTGCCTACATTGACTAAAGTCCATCATGAGCCTACATTAACTTTTGAGAAGTTTTATTGTCTATGATCTATACACCCAATGTGTGATTCCACAGCCAGAGTATCAAACAGCATTACATAGTAATTCGCTTGACCTGATTAGCATACACTATGCTAAGCAAACAATAAAATCGGGACCTGATGTACTGATTTACCTCATCTGCGTTTATTCCTCCTAAAGAATTTTTGGCATTGTTGCTGGTGTTAGAAATCACAGGGTGTACGTAGCCCTCATAGCAGATTGAGCAGGGAAGAAGGAGAGTGAGTGAGAGAAAAAGAAAGAAATTGTGGGAGGAATGTGAGGGGGGTGTGTGGGTGGAGAGCAGAAAAGAAGCCACAAGGGATTTGCATGTGTGAGCTATTTTTATCTCCATTAAAACAGCATTGTCTTATAGCCCCTCTCTAATTCTCTGTGATTCTTCTCCAGAGTCAGGTTTCATAGAGTAATATGGATTGGTCATGGTAAAATGAAAAATGAATTATCATCCACGCAGTGCCTTAGAAAGCTTCTGTCACAACAGGACTCACCAGGTAGATGGCTAAGCCCCCTCCAATGAGAAAGCCAGAGTAGACATCCACAGCATGGTTCTTGAACTGAATGATGCGAGTCAGGCCACAGATAATGCCACAAATGATAAAGGAAAACACCAGGAGTGGCTTCAGGAGCTTGGATGAGTCAGTCAGAGTGGCATTAAAGTACATCTGTGGAAGGAGACCAGCCTTTTGACTGAAGTTTAATGAAAATGCTTAAGAGTGGAAAGGACAGTTGGATTATTTGGCATGCAGTTACATATCGCTTGAGTCAACTGTGCCATGAGTCAAGTGGATTACTTACGGAGATGTACACAGCCGCAAAAGCTGCCAGAGTGGCGTGCTGAGATGGGAAGGACTTCCTGTAATGAGAGGCAGACAGCCTGGTCAGATCATTAGATCTTTTTCACACTGAACACATTTGAAGTAGTGTACCATGCTAAAGGACAGATGGGAACAGAAAGCCACAGATAATCATGTCCATAGTGCCCTAACTCATATAGTGCACCAAACAGCATCAGAGCTTTTTATTTCCAAGAATGTTCTCATAAAACCAACAGATATGTCTGAATATGCTAGAGTGCGCTAGATATTCTGGAGACACATTTCAGTGTACGTAACAGAAGTGTAAGTCTTCGGTGACACACACCCTCTTTACTTCTAATTTTTACGTAATACAAAATGTCTGCACAACATATAATCACGGCTATTGAGAGTGCATGAAACGAGTGGAAGATTGAAAAGCAGAGCTGCACAAATGGATGTGTGTGGGTGTGCTGGAATGGGCAGCCGGGTTGCGAGAAAGGCATCAAGACTCTGTGTGGGTTTTACAGGAACGCCATGTGCCAGAGGACAGCGCCACATTCATTCTGGTGCCTTCACATTTATCTACACTGTTTCCAGCAGAGATTAAATACAAATCTATTGATCCAACCAGACTTTTACTGTAAGTAGAGTTGCTGTGCAGCAGGTCCATTTAAATTTTGTCAGCCATAATATTTCAAATCAACTTTGTTTGGGTATATTATTAATCACCCACACTCTATCATCTGACTTTTGAGTTTCAAAGTGAGCTTTTAGTGAAGTCAGTCTTGAATCATTGCATGGCATAGGCATTTTAATTGCAGATGCTTGATGAGAAATCTTGAAATGGTACAAAAATCTTGCCAATTTGAACAAGTGGGAATGAACTAAAAAAAAAAAGCCTTTTCAATCAGATTATCACAGATGGAGGCTAATCTCAGTCCATTGAGAATTTTCTTTTTAAATGTTGAAGACCAGATTAAGTCAAAATTGACTCTATTTACTTTCTTAGTACATGTTCACCGTCTTATTGTGATTGACTCATTGCATGTTATTTAAAAAAAAAAAGTTTATTTTCATAATCTTCAATCAAAATATTTAGTAAAAGTAATTTGCTCTGCATCTTAAACAACTTTCCTTTTCTGCTGACATTACTTTGACCACACATGCTATTGGACAATGTTAACCAATAGCCAAACAGCTATTTACACACTAATTGGCAAACACACATTGAGTATGGCTCCATTCTGTTATAAAATGCCCATTCAAACAATTCCCAATGGATAAAATTATATCCTGCCCTAAATTTTTTTCTGGTTTAATATCCTGTTTCACTTAAAAATGCATCACAATATGAAAGTAAAATGGGTTGCCAGCAACATTTCACGTTGACTTCAAAATAGTATGTAATACTTCGTCCAAATTTAGACCTTTCTTTGGGCATGATTATGCATTAGGCTTGATGAAGTACAATATGACACAGATAACGCTCTCTGACCTGCCAGCATTGATTGCTGCTGGATCAGGCCCAGAGCAGATGTCATCCACAATGAAAGAGTTCTCATCACACGAATTGTTGAGGCTGGTGTAGTTGGGCTTGCACACAGTGAGGAAGTAGGGGGCATGGTATCCTGTGGCCAGCTGGATAATATCTGTGATGAGTGCTGTGATGCACAGGCCAAACACATGGACTCCTGAAAATGAGACAAAAGCACACAAGAAAATACACACACAAAGCTTTTTCCTCAGTCATATAAAGCAAATACTACATTTCATAAGCAGCAAGAAGACTTCATAAGCTTGCGATAAAATAGATGGAGCTTTCATTATTAATATCAAACTCAATCTAGTACAAGACTATAAAATAGACAGAATGAGTCAAGATCAAAAAAGTATTCCAAATAACATTTATATAAGCTATATGGCTTTTTATAGAGTCTCAAAGATCAGAAAAATATACACCCACCCACAAACCTCACAGCTCTTCGGATGTAAGAGTTGAAATTGCAGCCAGCGGCGTTTATGTTAGCCTCTGTTTTGATGGCAATGTTTCTTCTGGCCAAGCTGCAGTACAGGATCCCTTCCCCAATCATAATCTGTGGGAAGATGGTCATCTGTGTTTACCCAAACATACTGCTGTCAGCACCCCCCTTATACCGCTACCTGTCCACTTTTTAGTGGCTTCCAGATGTCATTTCTAATACAATCACTGACACATCAACTCCATTACTGTAATTAAAGTAAGAACTCCAATCCATCCATCCATTCATTCATAGCCATATGAGAGGGATTTCATCCAAAACTAAAAAAAAAGTGATGAGGGAAGGAGGTGTCTTGAAAGTCATCCAGGCCTCCAATATCGCAATGACTAAACTGTTAATTCCATGTAAATGAAAAGCAGAAACCCATAGATTTATATGTAAATGCTTCTGAAGGGGGCATCTGCTGTGGAGGACGAGATAGAGAGTGAGAGAAATGAACAAGTGATCAAACCCCCCCTGAGATCACACTTGCCGCACACCTACAGTCAAGTGCAGCACTCGAGTGCAGCAGGCACTACCATAACAGCTGGAGCTATCAGCAGGATACGCCTGCTAGCAAAGGCTCAGCCATAATACCCATACAGTACTGAGGGTGATTTAACATCGAGAGATTTAACATCGAGTTTGCTGAGTGATAAAACGTGATGCAGAAGTCAAAATTATGACTCAAATGTTTGAGCTGAGGTGGCCATTTGTACCCATGCTTCACTGCAGACTTTATTTACATTGGTTGACAAATGCATAATGCACAGGATAAGCAATAGTGATAGAACTCAAATGAGCATAGCCGCCTTGCAAAATTAATTAGGGCAGTTTGGTGTAGCACCTAATGTGATGAAAACACCCAAGCGACGTGCTGGAGAGTTGATGAAACAAATATGTCATTAAACATTAAACGAATCTGCTCTCTGATGAATATAGGTGGAGCGAGGCAATTTTAAGATGATGTTGATGAGACCAAAATTGGAATAACAAACTTTGAAACCATTGTGAATATTATAAGCAACTGGGGCAATGACAGAAAGCTTTTCAACCTTATCTTTATTTTTCAAATCTATATAATCTATATTTTTCAAAACCATACCAAGTATATTACTAAGAGCTGGATATGTTTTAAACTGAAAGATATTTTTTCCCTTTTCTTTTTTGGACAATCTTAATAGTCATTGACCCAGCTATGACCCAGTGACCTATTTCTTCAAAACCTACACTACCGCTCAAAAGTTTGAAATCTGATTTTTAAAAAATGTTTTTGAAAGTCTCTCATGCTCACCAAGGCTGCATTTATTTAACCAAAACTACAGTAAAAAAAGTAATATTGTGAAATATTATTACAACTATAATAATTGATTTCTATTTGAATACTTTTTAAAATATAATTTATTCCTGTGATGGCAAAGCTGAATTTTCAGCAGCCACTCGGGGGCCTTGCCGGCTTTAATCACTCAAGCCTGATCGATCATACCCGCGAGTTTGCCATTTCTGCCTCCGAGTAACTGGGAGGAGAGAAACACCAGAGCGGGGGAGGCGGGGCTTAGCGATGCACACACAAATGCGAAGCTGCCCGCATTTCGCTTTGATCTGCCTGGGAGGATTAAGCTGCTCGTATAACGAGGTGCACCGATCCTCATGTGTAACACACACTGGCATGATGTGTCTAGAATTTGCTCTTTTAGGGCTTACCTGCTAGAAATAAGTTCTTTTAGAATCGCCGGATGGGGAAACAGACCGGAACTGCTGTGTCGCTGTAGCAGCGGAGAAGCAGGTCAGCTGTGCTGAGAGGTCCCGATTCCAGCTGCGAAGGCGTGTCAACGGCGAGCAGGCTTTCAGGATCAGTGATGAGCGTGGATTCGTCACTGAAGGAGAACTAATCTGAGAATCCTGTGGCGAGGCCCGCTTATATTGTCAGATGCCCCGCCCATTCTGGCGGGCTTTGGCGGGCTTCGTCGCCATAGGCTCCCGCAGCTCCCCTGCCTAGCGATTGGTTCGTTTTTTAATACACTGCACGAACCACTGGCCATGCAGTTTCGAAAAAATGCTTTTTCCCATATGCGTCTTAAGCAAGACGCAGTACGAGTGAAATATCGAAAGGGAACCATGATACATTTGTTTTCAGGATTCTTTGATGAATAGAAAATTTAAAACAGCAATTGATCTGACATATCAATTGATCTGATTGACAACTGATCTGATACATTTTGTAAGATTATAAATGTCTGTATCTTACTGACCCCAAACTTTTGAAGAGTAGTTAAAATATGACTCTCAAAAGATGCAACTTCCAACCTTTGAAACTCTGAAGAAATGTGACAACCAGGTCTTGGAGATATTTCCACCGAGCTGCATTGACACTTGTAAACCTCAACATGTATACAGATGGTAAAATGCAATTTAGGGCAATCTATTAGACTCATGAGTTCATCACCTAGGGTCTTGATAATACACTCACAACATTCCTGGAGAGGCTTAGCACCTTGTCGCCCAGCTGATGTTTGAAATGCATGCTGGGTGGGCGCCAGTCAAAACTTTACTGATTTTTTTGGGGAGAAGACAACATGCAAGACAGCCAAAGAGCAAGAAATAAAAATGGAGAGAGAGAACACAAATAGAAATGCCAACAACAATTTAGGTGAGGTGAAAGCATAGAAACCTACACTTAAAGTGAATTGTGTAATTTTTAGGCTAGTTTGACAAAAATTTGCTCTTTGACAAATTGCTTTTGTTCCATTTTATGTCACATTGAATAAAATAATCTGCAAAATGCATAAATCTAAATTTATTACTGTTTTATTTATTACTTATAGATGCATTAGCACATCTGTTTATTAGCTTTGAAGCCATAAAAAAAAAAGATGACTCATCCTGTACTACACAAATGCTTGTCCAATAAGATGCTCTCTAGAATGAGAATGTCCCCCTGTAATCTCTAATACTGACTAGCAAGCAGCCAATCATGGTTCATGGCTGAGACAAAGCTAAAGCCATCAAGCGATTTCATATCGTTTATGCGAATCGGAACAGCAAAGTCCACTCAAAAATTGAGCCGACAGGAAACATCGATGTAGTACAGTATTGTTTCTGTCTGCAATAGCCTTACTGTGTTGTAACATGGTGTGGCTATATGGGCAACTCTGGTAAGGCTGCCCTCTCATTCATTGATCTGCTAACCGCT